CTCTCGTCCGACTCGGCCCGGCCCCCGACCCTCGCCGTCCCTCTGCGCCGATTCTCTCTCTCTCCTCTTTTTTTTAAAGTGTGACTGAAACAAAACAAAGCCAAAGGGACGCTGGATCTATCATTGGTTGATTTTCCTCCTCCTTTTTTTTTTTTTATGATCAAAAACAACCCCCCCACCCGAGCAAACAAACACACACAAAAGCAGAAAGAAAGGGTCTTGCTCAGCAGCAGCATGGATGTCTTGGCTAGTTATAGTATATTCCAGGAACTCCAGCTTGTCCACGACACCGGCTACTTCTCAGCTTTGCCATCCTTGGAGGGAAACTGGCAGGAGGTGAATCATTTAAATTACTCCTGTAAATCTCTTTAGCGCAGACAGTCGATGCATTGAGGCTGCATTTCTGACTTTTGTTTTATTTTTGTTCTTTAATTCAGGGTTGGGCTTTTTTTTTGGTGTTTTGTTTTTTTCTTTTCTGCGTGGGTAGACCTTTAAATCTCTGTATTTTTTTTTGCCATGACAAACTGAGCAGTCCATTCAAATCTGTCTGCCTTCAGTCCTTTCTGAGCACGCCCGGCAGCACCTGAGATCCGGTGGCATTCTTTAGGGTTTTGTTTTTATAGTGACTACTGTTTTTATTTTATTTTTGTGCTTAGATTTTTTTTTCCCCCGTTCTTTTAAACAAGGCTGATCACTTCTAGCCAGTGCTGACAACTGGCAGCTGGTGGAAACGGAATAGATCATTCTTATTTTCAGGTAATTAGTATATGTCAATAAAAGCCATAGCTTAAATCAAAGATGGGGGGTGAGCAGGTGTGTGAAAGCACTAGCAAAAGCTTTTATGCTAAATTCTATAACTAGGGAGGTGACTTGTTTTTCTTTTTTTTTTTTTTAGAAGACGGGGAGAAACACACACTTCTTGCTGTATCTTAAAACAATGACGCCTAAGGCTGGTTCCAGTAAACCAGTGTGTTTTGAGGCACTGTAGGGTTACTATGCAGGCAGAATTAGGATAAAGATGGAAATCAAGTATTACAAATGCATTAAAATGATGACTGGCAGTGCGAATAAATAAGACCAAGGAGGAGAGTAGATTACAGAGAAAAGAGTTGTATAGTATGAACTATGAGCCCAAATTCATGGATCTATAAATAGTTATCAGCTGGGATACCGAGGAAAAAGGAAAGACAGGATTCCTTGTTATGGCAGGACATTGTGAGACAATCCAGTTTCTTGATGAGATTTTCTAGCAGAGGTGATACACCAGGCAAAATTCTGGAAACTGGTGTCTCTTTAAAAGAAAAAAAAATAAATCCGCTGGTGGGTAGGAATAGTGGAGTGTGGCTGGGATGACATGTGGTGCTAATGCAGCGCAGGGACCGTGGCACTATTGCTGTAAGAATAACGAGCTGCTGGATTTCATCTTGCCAGCATTCACCTTAATCTTGACTGGTGTAAGGGTAGCATGCGTTAGGTCTCCAATAAGTGACAGCTTGTGATGTTCATTTAATTTTTCCTTAGAGGTGGAGGGGGAGAAATGTGGATGGTAGAGTTTCAGGGGAACACTCGGGCTGTAGCATTGTCATCCAGCTGGACTGGGGCTGGATCTTTAAAGGTTTACCCTAGTAAAATTGTTTTGCCTATAGCTTTGTGTGTATATACGCACACGCACAAGAGGTTTAATGACAGCTATGGTGCGAACACATTCAGGATTTAATGTGCAAAATGACCGATCCAACTTTGCTTTATCCTCCGAGGGGGAGGGGATGTTTTTTGTTATTAATATTCAGCTCGCACATCCATGATGGTCACATCTGCTTTCCTTTTATATTTTTAACATGCTAATTAAACTGAAGAGGTTAATATAATTACATTAAAAAATAATTTCATAGCATCGTTGTTGCTGGATTGGTTGCATATTCAGTTGCATATTAGTAACAGTCCAGACAGTCCAAAGCGAGATAATCTGTTGACATAGCCAGCATGCTTTAGGCAGTACTGTGAGTGATACTCTTGTCTCCTGCTGCCTTCTTTTATGCATGGAAGAGCAGCAGTTTGTTTCATACATTATAATGTACTCACCCAGAGCCACTGTTACTATTGCAAAATTTAAACTCACACTCTCCTGGTTAAACCCCATTGATTCTCCACATTTGTTTGAAAAGAGAAGTTGTAAATAATTTTTAACATTTTCCCTTGTTTTCCCTCAAATCCCCCAACCAATGCCTGATGTTTTGATAAAACATCGTGTATTTACAGTTTGGTTTTATTCCCCTGTTGCTGCCTGGACTCTCCTTGCAAACAACGGGGAGCAAAACTGCTGTGTCGGTGGTAGGAGCCGCCGAAGGTGGCTGTACAGAGCATGCTGTCTCGCAAGCTTGGCAGACCCACTGACACAGAGACCCCAATTTCATTCTTCTGAATCGCTTGCAAAATGTAGCCATGTCTTGGGGTTTTATTTGTTTTAGGCAAACCATTGCATCTTTGAGGCAGATATGTGTGCGTGTGTGTGTGTTTCTAAAGGTGTCCCTTAAAGCTGTCAGGCTGCAGTTGAGACCCCTGAGGAAGAAAGCTGACAGGGCAGTTACGGATCCCTGCGGGAAGTATCGGGATTGGAAAGCAGCAGCTTTAATTTTGAGTGAAAATATTTGAGTGGGTCTTGCCTCTGTTTCCTTGAAGAGCTCTGGTGCCATACCTGAGCTCCACAAAGTCTCCAGAGCAGTGCTCTTCCCAGCAGCAAAGCAGCGCCCTGGGAGATTACTTCAATCTCTTAAGAGCAGGGAAGCGGTTGTGTGGGTCAACAGCTGGCTTCCTTATCATGGTGTGAGCTCCAATTGTTTTGTGATTAACAGCTACTTGTGCTTGATGTGGAGAGGTTAGTCCATGCCAGCTCCTGCTTCTAGAAGTGGTGTCTGCTGTGCTACTGTAAAAGGTGCCCTTGCCCCACTGAAAATCAGAGCGTGCCTTGGAGTGGAGGTGTTGACACAGCCCTGTCCTCCTTCCTGAGTCTGGACCACACTTTTGTAGCTGCTGGCTGAGGACTACACAGCTGGGGCAATTGCTCATATTTCCGATTGTGAAACACCCATCATTCACGGAGGGTACTGACAGCACAGGCAGGTTGCTAAATGCTTGCACGCAGTCAGCTGATCTCTCCCTTTTTTTCCTTCCCACTGCAAGAGAAATGTGAACAAGTTTGGTATCTGGGCTTTTGACGGTTAGTGCTGGATTTGAATGAGAGCAACGCAGCAGTATGTATGAAACAAACAGATGTTGTGTAGGAAGAGATTGTCACCTCTTGTGTAGGTTTCTTTTTTTTAGGGGGAAAAATGCAAACACAAAAACTCTCACTCTGCCCTGGACTTAGTTTACATTGTAAAAGTGGAAATACCTGAAGCGGAAGTTGGATCTGAATCCATGATGTGCTTCATGTTGTTTTAAAACACGTGTTGGGGAGAGAGGGCTTGGTTTTTAGGCAACAAAAGCTTTGCTTCACTCTGTGAGCTTTGGATGTACTCCTTCAGGGAAGACACATCGGAGGTCAGGAAGGTTTTCTCTTGGAGTGGAGATGTTGGGATCTGATGAGTAAGTCATAGCCCAGCTTCATCAGGAGAGAGAGAACTTTGTCTTTGTTTAGCTTTTCCGGCAGTGTTGAGCCGCCGCGGCACTGAGAGAGATTAAAGGAAGAGGTGGGCTCTGTGCATTGGAAAACGAGGCGTTCGCTGTACATCAGATGGTTGATATCTCAGTGCCTGTGTTTCTGCCTGGTGCTTCATCCTGCCTCTGATGGAACTGTCCTAGTTGCTCTCTGTCCTTGTGAGCTGACTCAGGACCTGGGTGGGGGGAGATGTCAGCACCTGCATGGTTGCTGTGATGCAGCGGGAGGACCTCTGGCCACATATGCCTTTGCTCGGGGGTAGCTGTCTGTTGTGGCATCCCCGAGATTGGAACCAGACTGCTGGGAAAGGCAGCACGAGGCCGAAGAGCGCCTCGTTACTCTGCAGAGGAAGGAAGTGGGTAGGAGGCTGTTTTTGAGGGAGGTGACTGTGAGGAGCGTAGCCTGTGCGGCTGCACGTGGTCCTGCTCTCAGCGTGCCAGGCTGCAAGGAGGGAGGGAGCAGTGCTGAGTATTGTGAAGGGCTGGGCATGGGGCTTCAGTCTGTTCTTCCTGCTGTGCGTTCACAATGTCATTTTGAGGGTCATTAAAGGATCGGAGTGCATAAGGCATCTTTTGTCTTCGGATATGTCCCTTCCTGGGGGGTAGCATTTCCAACCACTCCTATTATCCTTCTCCGTAGATGCTTTAGAGGACTCTGGACTCACCGTCCTTGTGTAGAGAAGGGGTCTGATCAGGAGACATTAGGGGGCTCTCTTCATGTTCTCTGTGGGCCATAGGGCAGCTTCTGGCACAGCATCTCCCGTAGCATCAGAACACGGGAGCACAAAGAGCAGGTAGATGCACAGCATCGCTGTGTATGTAGCTGATGCAGGTGTATAAATTCAAGCCAAACACCCTGGCTTATTCTAAAAGAGCCAGCCTTTCCCACATGTGTCATTGGGCGGAACAGGTCTAATTGGCTGGCAGAAGTGGAAGTAGCATTGTATCATTTGCCTGATAACTATTGCCAGGTAACATTTCCTTTTGCCTTGGCTGACCTGATTGCTCTCAGCTGCAGCAAACAATAATCCTTCCAAGGGAGATGCATGTTTCCTGTAAAGCATAAGATTCAAGGAACCCTTTGTTTGGCTCTTGACTCTGCCGTAGAGCCTTCTTTGCATATTTTTAATCAAGTCTTCAGGTCTCAGTTTCCCCCTTTCTGAAGTGACTCACAACAACAATGTTCAGGCATGGTCTTTGCGGGGCTAAGAGGCTGAGTTTTGACCCATTCTGGCAAAGTGCTTTGAGATCCCTGTGCTGTGTGAGAGCAGAGTATCCTGAAGTGACTAATCTAGCAGAACTCTTACATCTTAATGCTCACTTCTGTTTGGCAGACAGGGTAATTTTAAGGCCTATAGGAAAAATTTCCACTGCTACTGGAAAGGAATAAATCACACTGGAGAACATTCCTGCCTCCCCATTGTCTCCATTGTTCTAGTTTAATGGCATAGTTGGCTACTACATAAACTAAACCATCTCTTTTAATATTGCTATTTCATCTCAGTTCCAGTCACAGTGTAACACATTTCTTAAGTGCTTATAGTACATCATGCCTCTTGAGAATAACTCGCACAAATGGTTGACTTCCAAGAACAGCCACATGTGTAATGCAGTGTATTTCAGACTCTAAGCACTGGTCCATTTATACCTGCAGGCTCTCTGCTTGCTCCATGTGCTGA